TATTATAATAATTTGATTAGGATTTAATTGATTAAACTGATTTTATTATTTTGTACTTATTACTTAGTTCTCCCTATTTCTTTACCCTTATTTATTTAACATTCTAGTTATACATACACTCATTTGTTCTGACTTACTTTTTAATAAAATCCTTGAAATAAGCGTTATCAGATATGCATTCTAGTTTTATATGATCTCAGTTTATAATGATAATGAATAAGTCATTATAAGAATAATCATATAATAAATAAATTTTTTGAGCTTGTAAATAGAACTGAGATATTATACGTTTAATATTTCCATCTTAATATCCGACGATCGGAAAATATATTGTGCCAAATATTGTATAATAGATGGTTGAAGATTTATCCACGAATGATTATTTCTGGCTTTATACTCGCGATATATTTCTGGTTCTACAAAAACGCCTAGTTTATATAAAAATTTAATGTAATTCTCAATATTTAAATCTATTATCGTTTTGTTGTTGAAGATGATCAAAATTGTGGTCGAAACGTCTGTAATTGTCAATTATTGTTAAAAATACGCACAAGTTTTACACATCCAATGTTAGTTTATATTGACTTACATTTTTTATTTATTTTGATTTATTTCTTCAAGAATCTTATTATTAGAAATATATTATTTTAATTGATGAAAGAGGAAAGAAAGAATTATTTTGAAATCATGTAATTTATTTTAATCTTATTTGGATTTTAATCTTATGGATTCTCATCTCACAATGAATGTATAGGAGGTCATAAATGAAGTTAAAATATGCATATCAGAAATTAATATTTATAATTGATATTTATTTTTAATGTTTATTGGATTATCAAATTAGAAAATCTATAGATAATCTTTTAATTAAATTAATATAAATTAATATAAAGAAAACGTCAATTTTTAATTTCTTTAGATTTATTTGACAAATACCAAATCATTACAGGAATCATTATAGCAATCTAACACTTGTTTCTTACTATTATAAATCTTTCGATAATGCGAATAGTCGTGTACGAATGACACGTTCAATATTGTGGAGTTGTGGAAATCGTTTTAATCTCAAACTGCTCGATGTTATCAATCAATAGCCGGATACTTGCGATTTTACACTCGGATCGTATTCTTTATCTCCAAGCCCTGTTTCCCATGGAATGTCTTTAGTGCAGCGTTAACTGGCGACGAACAATTGTAAAAATCTAAAGATTATCACGATTATGATGATCTGCTACCGGGAAGATAATTACACTGACTATTAATCGTCACCATGACACGATAATTGCATGAATTCTCATCTCACAATGAATGTATAGGAGGTCATAAATGAAGTTAAAATATGCATATCAGAAATTAATATTTATAATTGATATTTATTTTTAATGTTTATTGGATTATCAAATTAGAAAATCTATAGATAATCTTTTAATTAAATTAATATAAATTAATATAAAGAAAACGTCAATTTTTAATTTCTTTAGATTTATTTTTATTCAGCGATATTTATCACAAATTGCAGGCTCTAAAATTAAAAATAGAATGCAGTGTAGAACTTTAATTGGCGAACGCCGACTAAGGTTGAATTATCGTCAGTCATTGAAAGTGCTTCGTACTCTTGGCCAAGGCTATGCACACGGTATTTCGCGGCTGTATATATCGGATTAAATGTGTGCATGTAATACTCCTGAAGCAAGTAAAAGCAATCGCACGAGTAAGCTGAGTTGAAGTTCAAGAGCAGTGCAGCGTATCTAGGATCAATTTCTCGAAGGAACTCGGATCAATATACGGATTAAAAATCGATTTCAGAGAGCAGAGATGAGCATGTTGCATCACAAGTTAAAAAAAGTTTAGTGTAATATTTTTAAACAATTGTGCTGACAAATAATAAATATCTATTTAAGATTGAAATAACTTATTTGCAGTATAATAAATTCTGAGTAATTAAAAAAAATCCTTTGTAATTAAAAAAAATTTTTTTTCTTGTGTATTTTAAGTCACATTTTCAAACTTCAAGTAGTTATGTATATCAGAAACATTTGTTGAGATTTATTCAAAGTTGAAGTAATTCTTTTTTTTTCAATTATTCAGACTTTAAATATTTAAACAGTTTTTAAAAATGATATGTGATTCAATTATACATGTATGCTTTTCTATAATTAACTTAATTATTTGATGGACGCGAAATACAAATATTGCTGTTTCCAAATGTAAGAGCGTATCTCGAGCGTAACAGCATATGTAGTCATTGTCTTTCCGCGCTAATTCGCGTATAACTAGAATCTCGCTCATCTCCGCTTTCTCTTAGTTTCCGGAATCGCAGCGGAAACGGGACAATAATTTATCACATACCTAAGATACATTAATCTTCAACAGTAACATTGCAGAAAAAATGAGATAAAGAACTGTCTTGTTCTTTTCTCTGTGACTTTTAGTTTATTTTTTTAAATGTTTAATAATCATATATAGAAAGTAAACATAATCATATTTATAATTAGCTATGAAAATATTTCATAACTAATTATAAAGGGACTTGTCATAAATATAAATAATATTAATACGACTCTCTGACGCGGTATTCATAGTCTATTCTTTTGGGACATCTTAATTAATGTCTTAAAATATTAATACAAAGTTCTCTAATTGATTCATAATACCTTAAGACAGTATTTAAAACGATTTTAAATATAAGAACCAACTACAAATATTAGTCTATAATCAATTCATGATATCTTAAGACGGTACTTAAAATGATGTTAAATATAAGAACTATATGACTGAATACCGACCTAAGACATACTTAAAAAATTGAAAAAGTTTTCAAAACATATGTCTTTAAATCTAATAATTTTATAAACATTTCAATTTTTTTAAAAGCATACTGAAAAAATATACAAAATTTTAATAAATATTTATTAAAATATATAGCCCTAACAAAAAATATTTACTATAAATATGGAGATATATTTATTTGATAGTAAAAATCATTAATTTGATTTAACTGTCATTTTTTTATGAGTAAATATTTATTTACTATAAATAAATTTATTGTAGTTAGCGCCGTTGAAAACAAATATAAAATTTAGTATATTTTTTTCTTAGCGCATTTTTAAATTCCTTTTAGTTACAAATGTATGTCAAGAGTAATCTCGCAGATGGATTGTTTAATTTGTAAAGTCCACAAGAAACATAGGCTCGCCAAGAAGTGTGTTGAAAGTGTGCGCGCGACGTGAGAATAATAGACCAATAGAATCGTAAAAAGACTGCCGCGGGATATGAGAACGTCGTTACAGAAGATTTATTTCATTAGAAATTCTAAGATCGGATGTGCGCGTCATCGGACCGAGCCGCAGAAGGACTCTGCTGTGTGGACATCGTTCTCACTGTTATCGTCATCACCGGGCGCAAGAACGGTGACCGTTTCTCGCGACTGATGCGATTTGTATCGGCGAAAAGACGATAGTATCGCGCAACTCGATACGTGATGTACGGGACATCGTATTGTGCATACATATTTGTTCGGTTTTAACTGTCAGTTCCGTCGCCAACGTTACACATTGTCGAGTTTCACCGGACGCGGTCAGAATGCGGCGCGCGCGATACGATTCATCTTATGGACTTTGACATTAAAGATAGAACATAAGTGTCGTACTGTCAAAGATAAACTATCGAGGAAGCTCCGCGTGTTTTCATTCTTTCACTTCATTCCTCTCACGAAGTTAATCGACGTCGCGCATTTTGCTCTTTGCAAACGTATGGGATCAATGGCCATTGCATGCTCTAAATAGACTTGCTTCTTTCTCGTTTTAGATGAGTCATCTGTACGGATTATTCAGCAAACAAGTGGCACGGTTTTGCGCTGATTCCTCGAGGCCGGACTGTAATAAGAACCTGCTCGTAACCGGCGTACGGAGCCTCGCTAGCATGGACGACAATGTCCTTGACAGGTTGGACCCCTATCAACGTGGCGCGAAAGAAATGAGTAAGAAAATATTCCTGTAATATTGAAAAGAGATTTCATATTTACTTGGCTGTATATCGTGGAAAAGATTTTATGTTTATTTGATTCAAGTAAATATACAAATAAACTTCGAGAGAATGTCAGCCTTGACACTTTAGCGACCTCGTACTCAAGCTACTATAATGTCTTGTTTTAGTTTGGCACGCCATGGTGGGAAGCAACAGATTCGCATCAAGAATCAGTCATGAAACCGAGGAATCTTACTTCACGACTGTAGCCGACTTAGGTAAGTGTACTCTTTTATTATCTTTTATAATCAATCAAATAGTTTAAATATGAAACTATATATAAAATATTATTGGTTACTATAGTCTTTAGAATCTTTATTATATCTATAGAGATCAAAACAGATTATATTGTGTGATATAGAAATGAGAAATAAAAAGGATATTTATAGAAAAAGAAAGTCAATGAAGTTTTAGGAATAGAATAAATTAGGATATTAGTTAGGATATTAAAATCAAAATTTTGCTTTACAATTTATTTAGCATTTTGTTGAAAATAAAAAAAGAATTAATTACATATCTATACATATTTATTACTTTATCTATATATATTTAAATTAATCAAAACTTCATCATCCTCCACCCAATCTTACATAAAAACAATCTTTTCATAATCTAGAGGAAACATATAAAATTTTCAATAAAATTTAATAAAAATTACCACTTAGTGCAATATTTTTTTCTTAATCGCTTATCTTATACAAAATTGCAAAGCTTTAGTTGCGTGTACATGCCATTGTAATAAGATAATGTGGTAAAAAGAAATGCACTTAGCTTATTTGAAAAAATATTTTGTAAATTTGCTTCTTCCTTGTTTCGGGATTTCTCTGCGATCGTGGTCTCGCGGACGTCGCACCTCGAGAAAGTTTTAGTCGCGGTTTCGATCCCACTCGTGTTCGCGCTTGTGCTCCTAGAAAGTCTTTTTTTCTCCCTTAACGATATTGCGTCCGATCCTAGCTGATTGTCATTGACTACGCACTTTCTCCCTTCTTTTTGAAAAAAAAAAGGATCGTACAGTCTATTGCACCAATCCGAACTGATTCTTTGATATTATTGGAGTCATATTACATTCGTCGTTCAACTACAAATCAATTAGATTAAATCACGAGTGCTCATTGTTTGTCAAATTAAAATCTTTTTCATAAAAATAATTCTAAAAAACAAAGTATGTTAAAATTTTTTGATTGAAACGTTTGTACTTGGATTTATTAAATTTTAACACACGAATAACTAGTGTAAGTTCTTAAAGATATCCATCTTTTTCAATTTAAATTTAAATGTAAAATAGTTTAACAATATAATATGATGAGAAATAAGTCCGATAAGAATAAATCTAATTAAAACAGTTTTTGATTGTAACTCTTTGATATAAATAATAGTTACAAAAATTACAGTTTTACATTGTTTTTTAGTATAATAATATTAATTTCAATATTAAGTATCTGGTGAACATAATCTAAATTACATATAAGAAAATAGACGTTTGAGAAATATCTTTGGAGAATTTTATTAATTCATCATTGGACAATCTATTGACAATCTGACAATCCTCGTATGTAACGAGCTTTTGATAGATCGCGAAAGGAGGTCACTTTTCTCAATGTCTACGATGAGAGTCCCAGCGCGGGGGCGCATTACGATGGCTTTCACATTTTCTCTGTTGGCCCATATATACATGCGTATATACATACGCTAATAATGCATTGACACGCGATGAAAGCCGCAAGCGTTGCATGCCCGTGATTTCAGGCGTTTATCGATCAATTATCGTGTTAGAAATCTAGCGAAATAGAAAAGGGACTTCTCTATACACTATCCATCCATTTAACGGGAAGAAACAGCAAAAAAAACGATGTTCTTACCGTTACACATCATTAGTTTTTCATGAAATCAATGGCAATTATCTTGTACATTTCATGGTAGAGAAATTTATAACTGTACAGCTCTTCTTTCGCTGGCCGAAGATACACACGCAAATATGTACACATGGCACTCATCCATTGCGAGGGCAAATTCCTGCACGTTTACCTCGCAGAGTCCTTGTAGCCTATAAATTAATGACATTCAACTAGCTGTCGGAAGAGAGCACAAACTGATATACAGATATTGAATTTTAAATTATCATAATGCGGAGGTCGTACAGGCCTCTAGAAACAACCACGTGTGAGGGACGATAAAATAGGGGCCGTTGATCCAAAATGATCTTCGCCCGTGAAGAATTACAAACATATTTATCTTGTTTTCCTTTTGGAATACGCGACACTGCTCTTTTTCTATCATACTAAAATAAAAGCGCCCACGACTAAAAACTGATAGCGAAGATAAGATCTAAGTCTGTTTCGGAAATCGATAATAATAATTATTAGTGTAACAAGAGACAACTAATAGTATTATACATATATAATCATATGCGATGTATTAGAGAGAGAGAGAGAGAGAGAGAGAGAGAGAGAGAGAGAGAGAGAGATCGTAATACTATAATAATAATTAATTTAATACGTATGCAAGTTTTATCTCACGAAATATCAAGAATTTGACAATGAATTAAAAATCTGGTTCTATAATTGTCTAAGATATTGCAATTGATCCCAGGCATACAAATGATTCTTATACTCTACGCACACATACTGTTAAATATCAAAGTAACAATGGTAACTCAATTCCTTGATTTAAATAACAATGGACACTTCCCATTTGCTGACATTCAGTGAGCAATAAAGATAGAAGGACACTTGTGTAGATTTGTGTCACTAAATGGAAAGTATCCAATTTGTATTTTTAACTTCTATGTGTGTCAAAATGTAAATTAATCCATTTCTGTGATTTCAAAATAAGCAAGGTCCATATTAACGTATACATTTAATAAATAATAAACTAAATTAAATTTAACACATTTCTTGAGTTAAATTGTTTACATCCTTTGTTTTAATTAAATTAATGACATATTACGGAGCAATAATGACTTATAGAAATGACTTTAAAAAGTCAAATTGGATACAATTTGACTCAAGAAATGTGTTAAATTTAATTTAGTTTGACATTATGAATTAAATTTAATTTAATTCGACATTATGAATTTAATAGTGTAATTTAATTTCTACGTAAAGTCATCGTTGACTAAGAAATTTGTGATCCGCTCGCACAGCTTTAGTGAATCTTAATGAAGTACGGACAAGGATTTCGCTTGGAAGACATATGTACTTCCCGACATCTATTGCGCCTGTATAATGAACCTGTTACTTAATCCTCGACGACTATAAACCAACGTCAATTTCGAAGTCACGTCGACGCATTTGTTTAATTCCATCTCTTTCTTTCTCTTTTTGCAGCGAACAGCGGTAGTGAGACGAACGGCCTCGGTGAGGAGACTGTGGCGAGCGGAGATTATATCCAGTCATCGGAGTCCAGCAAGCCGTATCTCTCGGGACCGATGGTGATACGGGTCTACCCGGACGGCCGACCGGTTCTAGAGGACCAGAAGCGTCCGTTGCCGAAGGACGAAGACGTGGACGAGCTTCGATATTCCCGTCTGCCGTCCATCGAAGAGATCGAAACTAAGAGTGGCAGCAAGTTCTACGGAAAACGGACGATCGAGCCGTCGATGCTAAAGAGGAGGATGTCCCTCATTGCCGATGACAAGAACTATCGACAATCGCAAGCGTTGCATCTTCGCCATCCGTTGTCCTATGAAAGAACGATGTTTCGGGACACGTTGAACGAACGCGGAGTGCATTATTACTGAGAAGATGTGTCTCGTGTCTCTTTTATATATGATACAAGATATTTCCCGCGGATGCATCGCTTCGTAATAATGAGATTTTTCGAAAAATAAATCGCCATCAAGATCCTGCGGAAAGACAGATGACAGTAGCCACGTTTGTTATCATAGATATGGAAAACACGGGGAATGTTGAAAATACAAGCGATACCAGTTGCAGTCGCGTAAACGACGTAATAATAATCAGCTGTAATTACTAATTCATTGCGCATTCTAATTTATCTGATATCGTCGTTACGATAAGTATGAAAGAGGAATCGAACTCGTTTTTCGAAATCTTCGCATTGTTATTTATCGAATATTACCTATTATTGGAATGAAAGATACAGAGCGTGGAATGTGACTGAGTAACTTTATATGAGATAAGAATTTATGATTTAATCCGCGTGAATTGGAAGAATTCATAAATTCTTTCGAATTGCATAAATTGGAAACTTGACGATTGGTCGGTAATTAGATTCTCTCTTAATATACAAACGCCGACAGGAATACATGTATATATTCGTATACGCAATCTCAATACCACTCGCATAATCCGACCATGAATATCATTCGAGTTCCATTTATTTAATTTCATTCATTTATTATATGTAATATTTATTTAATACTCAATGTGATTGTCATGGCTCATACTTCAGCAAAAAATATGAAAAATATGAAATCATATATTAATTATCCTAGGTTGTGATGAGCAATTTAAATCCTCGAAACTGTTAACGCAAAACATTACAAGCGTATTATTTAATTCAATTTTTATTCTTCAAAACAGCAATTGATTCATCAATTCCCCTATATTTTGTTTCATAAATTTAATATATGTTACGTATTATTTTTCTTCGATATATATGCGCCATTAGTCGCATAAAGGAACTAATGTACCTCGCTGAAAAATATTGTATTTTGCATATGTTATCTCATTATCATCAATAATCATTGAATATTACATACATCATTCGTTTTAACACATAATAATTAGTTTGCTAAAATTTATTGCAAATTTGAAAATTTCTACAACTAATTGCACAAATATGTATTTGTATTTAGACAATTGTAATACTCAATGAATTACATCTATTGAATTTTCACGCAAATCAAGTTGTTTGCGTGAACAAGGAAGAGCATGTTTAAAAATCTACGTATATATTTTTACGTATGTATTTATAAATATATAAATTACGTATATATTTTTACGTGACGATTACTATTGATTATTATATCTATACGTATTCATTTTCGTTTTGTAAATACTTGAAACATTTGCCACTATTAACTTTAAGTACATGTCAATAAGATAGAACTAAAGTGTGATAAAATATAGAACATGTAATATATATTTGAAAGGCGAGATTAATGAGATTATAATGTGATAAAGTAAAAATAACATGATATATTATATGTATAAATATCCACATATGCATATACACATCATACGCGCGAAATATTAAAATTTTTTATTATAAAAAATTTAATATAAGGGAAAAACTTTACCTAATTGTTCAAAGATGATAAAATTTTATGCTACAATGATTATTTTTTTAATGTGCTGCTGTTATAAGCTCCAACATTTTTGCTGTTTCATAATTGTCATTTTGGTACATTATTTTAATGCATTAATGAATTGTCTATTTAAATCAGCAGCTTATTCAAAAATTGAAATGATCAACTTGCTTTCATTTTTTATATTTTTAGATGAATATTTTTAGATTATTAAATCAGATGGTTATACGTTTATTATCTTAGCTTTTCCACAATTCCTTTTATTAATTTACTACAAATTCTACACATACATATATTATAGCAAATGTGTGCATGATGTGCATGTCATTATACTACCGCATATGTATGAATGAATAAATTATTAAGACTATATATGTATACGAAAACACTGCGAATATAGATTTAACGTAATATTATTTTAAATCTTGTGGTGATAATATTTTATATAGTAAATATATTATATAAAAAAGATAGTTATATCAAATATGCATTAGAATATAAGTGAAATGACTAGAGAGATGATTATAGAGAGAAGTTACGTTTCATATTATCTTTTTACTTTGAAAATTATATGAAAATGTATATTGATATACGTATATTGATATATATCAAATCAATATATTATACTATAATATTAAT